GAAAACACAACAGAACTGACAAGGTGTCGTGGGATACTGGAATAAACTGGATAAACTGCCCGCTGAGGTCGACCAGACTTTTGTGCAGATGATGATGGCGTGCATCGTGAAGAGAGGTGTATTTAGAAACGAGATCGATAGAATGTCTTCACCGCTGGTTTTAAAAGTTAAATCGCAGAAAATCATCGAAATTCTTTAAATTGTATTGTACTTCGTAGAAGCGCAGCAAATCTCATAATAGACAACGTTTGTAGAAGCTCAGTGAACTTCGTAGAAGTTCATAAAATTGCATAAACGCTCATTGAATATCGTAGGAGTTCAGAAATCTTCTTAGTACTTCCGAGATCTTCGTATCAGTCTAGGAAACTGCGCAGCAATTATCAGAGAACTTACTTCAGAAAAGCTCAATGCCCTTCCTGGAAGTTTTGGGAACTTCGACTCACTCAGATGTCCAGGAAAATTCATAGAAAGGGTTTAGGGTCGTCCCGGAAGTTTGGAGAAGTTCATGGATGTTCTGAAATTTCGGTCTAGTTAAGAGAGCTAAACAAAAATAACTATGAATCTTGGAAGAAATTCAGGAAACTTCGTAGAAGTTGAGAACAGTTTCTAGATGTTAAGGAAACTTTGTAGATGCCAAGGGGACATTGTTCAAGTTATAGGAAATTCGTACAAGCTCAGCCAAAAAAAAGTAATAAGATGTTCTGCATACGATAGTCGTGGGCCTTCGATGACCAAGTTCACGTCATTGAAGCAGAGTAAGAAAATCACTTCCTTGAGGTATTCCTGACGTAGCTAGATAAATAGACATCGGATCGGTTGTCACCAACGGCAACCATCGGTTGTCGATCAGTGAGATATGAACGAAACCATCGCAAGAGGTTGCCGCTGACCCCAAGGCTATGCAACTTGGTAATCGCGATGGCATGGTTTAGCTTATCAAAGGCAGCTGACAAGTCGGTAACTATATATGACGTCTGTTCGAGTCCTCTCTGCCATGCTTTCCGATGTGAAACACAGCAGATTTGTGGAAGTAGAACGACCGAAAGTGTTGATCACCACTTAGATACTGCTTACAATGAGAGAGCAGAGGCTCCATGATGACTAACTCGAATAACTTCGAAACTGCACTCAACGACGTAGCTTCACGATAATTGTCCACATCTCGTTTGCTGCCCTTTTTGTGGACAGGAAACATATGTACGAATTTCCAACAAGATGGAAATGTACCACTCGAGAGTCGAGATGGACAATCGGAATAGGTGATGCAACGGCAGCAGCAAGCTGGCGATATGCTTTTTCAGCTGCTAGGGTAACGTGTTCTTCGGTTATTTCCTCATTCGAGAAAACACTGGCGAACTTCTCAGAAAACAAGCGACAGATCTGCTGAGGAGTGGAAGCAACTACTCCATTCCACCATTGAAGAACGAAGGCCGGATTCCTTGCGCTGCTCATTTACGTAATTCCAGAATTAATTCGGGTGCGACTTGAGTTTGCTCTGAATCCCTCGTTGATATCGCGAATAGCATCGACGGCTAACTCGCTTGAACTCATCAATTGAGCCTAACGTAGCGCAAGCGTACGATACTTAGACTTCAACCTACGCAGTTCACTCGTCTGCCAGGGAGGATGAGAAATTTTACGGTGAACTCTTTTCGCAACGTGTCTGTCAATGACATATTAGTAAGCCAAGACATGTGAAAATGTTTGCGTAGCGGTTTCAACGTTATCAGGATCGAGGATGCTCTCCCAATCTATGCTAGATAGCACATTGACGATACTATGGTAATCGGCTTTCCGGAAATCGTATGACACTGAGAAGGTGCCGTGGAGATGAATGGAGCGGTGTCCTGAACGCTCACGAAACAGAGCTCCAAGCTACGGTTGTTCTAGTTGACTACGTGGTTTATTTGAGATAGCGTTGCTGTACTATAGCAGTCGAGAAGGCTAACTGATCCTGTATGAAATACCGAGCGTACAGGGTCTGGGTAGAGAAATCCACTGTGAGATGGTTTCCAGGAAACGCCAGCTAGATTGAATTCACCCAGAACGATTATCGCATCAATTGGTGTCGCACTTTCCATTATGATGAAAACCGAACACCGCACATAGATACAGTGTGCGATCGCTCGGTTCTACGGACACCCAAACTTGGTTCACACAGGTCCACAAGTCGTTTTCAATAGCTCTCGCCTTTAACCCAGAACGAACTGCCACGAGAACACCACCTCCGGTAGACTGTTTTTCGGATTCCTGTCACAGCGGAATGATGTCACATAGAATGATGTTGATAAGATTGAATTTTGATATCTTCAGCAAAGTTGCTTGAAATTGAATTATCTATAACTTCGTAGAAACAACTTTTAGGACTAGGATCACCCTAGTCACGACCTATACCAAAAGAAAGATCTTATATTATAGACAAACGGTGGACAAACTCTCTGCAAAATGTCAAACCTCTAGAGTGAATGGTTTTCGAGATATCGATTCTAGTCGTGAAAAGAAACCTAACCAAACCTATCCTGTTCTTATCAACTTCAATAGTATGTATTAGTATTATTATTGACCACCGGCAGCACGCCTTCTGGGCAGGAAAGGGAACCTCCACGTATTTCGCTTCGCTGGGAGAACTGTTAAGGGACACGCAGGAAAAGGGTCACCACGCGGAGATCGTCTCCTTGGATATCTCCAAGGTCTTCAACAGAACATGGACGCCGTTAGTACTTCAAGAGTTTATCACCTGGGGATTTAAGGGAAATATCCTTTCCTTTATCCGAGGCTTTCTGGCAAGACGATCGTTTAAAGTCGCCGTGGGGAACACCAAGTCTCCTTCTTTCCCGGAGAAAACAGGGGTGCCACAAGGCTCGGTTATCGCGGTGACGATTTTCTTAATAGCGATGAACCGGATCTTTACTCGTTTGCCGCTTAACATCCACATTCTCTTCTACGCGGATGACGTGCTAATTGTGGCCACCGGCCGCACCATCGCAAGGACCCGCATCCAAGCACAAGCAGCTGTATCGGCAGTTGCCAAATGGGCGGCCTCAGCCGGGTTCCAACTCTCATCTGCAAAGAGTATCCGCTGTCACGTCTGCGCTTGCGGTCACCGAGTCGGTGGCGCCTCTATCAAGATCGGGGATCAACCGATCCCCCTGAAAAAAACGATACGCAAATTGGGCGTTCTAGTTGATCGACACTTAACCTTCACGCAACACTTCCAGTGCGTTAAGGATAGTTGCAAGACCCGCATAAACCTTATCAAAACAATCTCCATTCCACACCGCATCAACAACCGAGCTATCCGGCTGCATGTAGCCAAGGCAGTTATTGACAGCCGTCAACTCTACGGTCTGGAGCTCACCGCAATTGCCAAGGACCTTGCACCGGTTTACAATGGCTACATCCGGGTAGTCTCAGGTCTCCTGCCCTCGACGCCGGCCGACACAGCCTGCGCTGAAGTCGGGATACTTCCTTTCCGGTTTCGAATCGACACCGCAGTCGCCATCAAAGCGGCTGCCTACTTGGCAAAAACATCGGGTAACGAATGGATCTATCTCTTCGAGGAGGGGAGCAGAATCTTCCGTACAGCAGCTAATACCGACCACCTCCCAATAGCCAAGAGCCACTGGCTGGGAGGAAAAAGTTGGCAATCGAGACCATTAAACATCGAAAGCCGAATTAAGGACCAGTTTAGGGCAGGAGACAACTCGGCGGCGCTCAGACATTCCATCGCGGAGATGCTAAACTCCGGGTACACCAGGCATACGCATCGTTTTACGGACGGGTCCAAATCGCACAACGGAGTTGGGATAGGCATTGCGGGAAAGATCTCGCCAACGAGCTTGAGTCTACCGCCACAATGCTCGGTTTTTTCTGCAGAGGCAGCGGCGATTTTCGAAGCAGCAACCACACCATCCGACCGACCAGTCCTAATCCTCACAGATTCACACAGCGTAATTTCTGCTCTCCGGTCCAACATGCCCACTCATCCGTGGATTCAGGGAATCATCAGACATGCAAATTCCCAACACAGTATTCGATTGGGTTCCGGGGTATTGTGGCATCACTGGAAACTCCGACGCTGACAGACTGGCCGGGGTGGGACCATCTGGTGACAGGTACACCGATGAAGTTCCCCTTCCGGACATCAAGCGATGGGTCGAAACTTCCATGCAGGCTAGGTGGCAAGAAGAATGGTGGCAAACCAAGGACCGCTTCTAAGGAAAATCAAGGAGAGCACGCGTCCATGGAAGGACCTTGGGAACCTTCAGGCTTCGCACATGTCACACCCGGCTCTCACACGATTTCGGCGGAGGAGTTTTCCGCAAGGCCTGCGTCATCTGTAATATTCCAGCCACCGTCGAGCACATCCTCTGCGTGTGTCCAAAGTACGAGCTCGTGCGGCAACACTACGGCCTTTTGGGGAATGTCGGCGACGTACTGGGCGACGAACCTTCGATCCTGGCTTCCCTGATCTCCTTCCTGAAGGACGCTGATTTGTTTTTCAATGTTTGATTCCTTCCTTTCGGTCGTCGGGGCATCTCTACCGGACGGGGGCACCGCTCTGCCTTGTTCGGATTAGTCAATAAGTTAACTCAATGTCAATGGTCTAGTTTGTTCTTCTGTGTTTCCCAAATTTTAAATGTCGTTCAACCAAAGCTCTGTAAATTCCAACTGTGTTTTTTCCCAAGGCAGGCCTTATATCTCTGATATTTTTCCTTCAAAATGAAGAACTAGCAAATGGCTAAAATTCACTAAGAAGAAATAAAAGTAATATTTTTGGCGACCACAGATTCTAAATTCAGCCGAACCAGTTTGGATCGTGCGTTGATAAGCGATGGATAATGGTTTTAACTGGAAACTGCTCTTGACAAGCTTAATTGATCTAGCTAGATATGAACATGATTTATATCAACTTTGATATGTGACTCTAACCGCTAGATTCAATCATTCTGCGATCTCACAATACCCTTAAATTGTGTCAAAACAGCAAATGCGCTCACCATGAATTCATCTGGCGTTTCTAAATTATCTCCAAATGCGATTGTGTCCATTGTGTTGTCTGCCACTAGAAAAAAAAATACAAACTCATTAGAGAAATTCTCCAATCAGAATCAGTTCTACTCACTGCTCAGCCCATCCATGCTGTCGTCTATGCTGGAGAGGAAATCGGGCGTGTGTGGCATCGATTGCGACGTCGACGATTCGCTCAGTCCGCTGTCACCTGACTCCTGGCGTGAGTGATCCGTCAGTCCGGACAGGAACGGATCTTCCCCTATCTGTAATGACGCGAGGTTCCAAATCATTTCCTGTTTATTCTACACACACACACACACAAGAAAAGAACAATCATTGCTCAACACTTACATGTGACCTAATTTCCTGTTGTCGCCTCCGGAGGCGCTCTCGCTCCAGCTGCAGGTTGTACAGTCTGACCGATTGCTCTTGTGCTGCCCAATCTTGGTTTGCTGTTTGGAGGAGGAGGAGGAGAAAAGAATCGGTTAGCGCGTTCAGTTTGGGTTGGATTTTTGCACAATTGCCGTTTCCGGCGAGTGGCGCCCCGTGGTCATTATTCTACTTCTTAAAGCGAGTTTTTTACTAGTTTATATATGGAGGATGGAGGCACGAAGCCCCGTTCCGGAAAGTGAGTCAGCAGTAGCAAGGCAAGCAGAGTCAGAGAGAGAGATAGATAGGTCAAGTGACACGCAGTATCATCATGTGCACAGGAAAGCGGGTGGCTGGCGGCAGAAATGGAAGAGCGTTTAATGTTCATGATAGGAAGCCTTAGAAAGTGTATGAGCTGCAACTTGTTGAGGTATGACAGTTAGAGAGGTTACGGAGTGGAAAAGACCGGTGGTTAGTGTCAAGTCCCGAGGATCCAGTCAAGGGGTGTTAGACGGGAGCAACAAAAGAATAGTATTTCATAATGCTTTCTGAATGGTAAATTTCAGACTCTGGTACGGGTTCGAATGATGCTCGAGTGTTGAACGTGTGTTTCTGGTTGGTATCTAGAGGCTACTACTCAGGCGCTACAGAAGGGGAAGATGACGGTGTGTGCTTCGGTTGGCTGGGACAACAAAAAACGGAACACCTACACAATCGAGGATCCCTCCAGGTGGTCGTCCGCGTCGCGTGGTTGATGTAGTACCGTTCGCCTTTGGCCGTTATTCCTTCCTCCCAACCTTCCGGAAGTGGACCGAGATTGACATTACTGTTGTTGTTGTTGTTGGTTAGCATCGACACGTTGGTCGGTGGCGGCGGCAGCAGCGGCAGATCGTTCGACATTTCAATCGAATCTGAAAATACCACTGAAAAAGACAGTAGAAAATAAGATTCCTTGCTGGTTGGTGGTTAGTTTTTTTAGAAGGAGGTGGGGTGTGTAGGGACAGCGGAGAATAGGGCGGGGGGGCGTGGCAAGAAAGGGAGGCTGTTGTGGCTGATGCAGGTGCAATGATCAGTCTGATTGTTGTTATGCACAATATTTACAAAGGAAGGCTCCTGTTTGACCCTTTCCGACGGTAGCAGACCCTAACTAGGTATATGTATAAAATTTGAACACGAAAAAATCCGGACACATTAAAAACGCTGCCATTAAGGAATTGTTTGAGTAAAATTTTCCTAAGAGTGTATAGAATAACAGTAGGCATTGGTTGTCAGGATAAGTTCATTTGTTTACATCATGGCTTCACCGGATCAAGTACGTCGTGGAAATCCTGGGCAGGAATTTTACACCTCGGTTGACCGGAGTGCCCGGTAGAATTTAAAATCAAAAATTAGTCGAAATTCCAAAAAACCTCCTTGTCTGGTAAGCAATCTGCAGTTGTGGGCTGAAAAGTGAAATTTTCGTTACTTCTGGGACAATAAACCAAGCAAATTTACCAATTATTTAACACATACTGAAGAAAAAAGGTGGAACTGAAATTGACCAGAAGGATTTCTATGGGTCTGGGTTCAAGCCCAGCCGAGGTCGGTTTCTGAGGCATAAAAATCTCTGGTCACGTCTTCCTTCTGAAGGGAAGTAAAGCCGTTGGTCCCGGCCCATGTGTGTTGAATGGATGTGATATCCTACGCAGGTGTAGAAGCTGCCTTCCTGCACATTCGATTGCCGTCAATGGATTGCAATCGATGTCCGTCGGTGATTGGCACTAGATTGCGGAACAGAGACCGACGTTAAATAAAGAAAAGAAGAAGAAGAAGAAGAAGATTTCAAGCGGAATGGAATTTGGCAGTCAAACAAGTGGGAACAGCGCTCGTGCAAAAGATGAAGGGGGCTATGGTAAGAAGGAAGACTGAAACAATGGTCTTACAATAAGCATAATACCTACTAATGCATAGCTGTTACATTGAACTATGAAAAATAAAACGCATTTTTAAACCGTAACAAGATTTTCAAGTCTGGATTTTTTCGTGTTCAACCTTCAATAGGACATCAAATCTATTCTTAAAACAAAGTAAGCAATATTTTTAGTTTTGTTCTGAATCCGGTAAAGTGACTTTTTCTTTTCTTGTAAGCGACACCGTCCTCAACCAGACTGAACATTTAACCACAGAAAAACAGACAGTATGTAACATTGTTTGAGACCTGGCAAGCAAGCTTTTTTTCCGCGAAAATTAGCTCGCGAGATGTCGTTAGTGAGTTCCGTGATGATATTTTTAACTAAAATTTATCTAAAGTGTTACGTTTGTTTGTCAACATCCAGCAAACCAGTAAAGCTATTTTTTTTCGAAAAGTTCCGGCTGGAACGGAAATCGAATCGTCACTTCGTGGCACACACAAACCGCCTGAATGGTCGAGGGGTGCTCCCGCTAATTCCACGACTACAATTTTCGCGTTTTTATGTTCTTTGTGTACATATATTTTGTAATTTTGGCGTTTGTAAAATACTTTGGCATTAGCTATTACAATTTTGTTTAATCGTGGTGAAATTTTAGTGATTATTTCGACGTTTAAAGGCCATTTTTGTAGGGTTTTATGACGAAGGACTACGTTTTTAATTTCTATACCGGGGGCCACATTAAAAAAAATAAATCCAAATTCAGACATGTAACGAAAAATCCCAAACACGGACGTAACGATAGAGCGCAAACCGAGCACACGACACATTGCGCATACTCACATGAGCGAGCTCACCGCTCGGTTGACCGCTCACCATTTCACCAAAGAATGGAAGGGAGGAGACAAGCAGCGGTAATATAAACGCTTGCCAAATCGTTTTCTTCGTCATTTACTTTCGAGCAACGGACGGATAAGCGTTGGATACGACGTATGAGTGGAACAGCACGCATCGCACCAATACGAAAACGACGACGAATGTACCCACATACCTGGTGTGAAAGAGTCAAGTAGTGCTAGTTGTTCTTTCACAACAATCCAATTCAATGCTGGTCGGAGCGGAGCACGTCTTGGTCTGGTGTGAATGCTGCCATATACCTACTTGCAAGCAACTAGGAACGCTCTGAGTAAAAATATTCCAAAAGGGAGGGGCCTAATTAACTATTGTGGAAGTATAAAACAGTCTGTAATTCATTAAACGTGATCAGTTGCAATTCCATTAGCATTAGGGGACAGTCGTCACAACTAATTTCAAAGACCCAGAAAGTGGACGTGGACATCGGAATGAGAAGCATTACCAACGGTAACGACATCCTTCAAACGTTGCTGAGTTTGACTACAATAATCACCTTGAAAATTTGTTTTTATGATCCCTAGATGGTGGGTAAAACAGGTTCACAAAATTGAAATATTTTTGAACCATGGAGAGAAATAACAGCAAAGAATCATCAACCAGTGCCAATAGCAGTGTTCGGAAAATCACTATCAGTTTTGGGTCATTGAGTGTCCGTGAGAGAATCAACTTGCGTAAATCATCCAGCCCTAAACATTCCCGCCGACGTCAATTGGTAGCACGTTTATGCATTTCGTGTTAGTTCTTAATCCACTGAAGCAAATACAATAGCAATAACTTCAACAACCCTTTCGATGGACACCAGGAAAAAACAACAAACGGTCCTTTTCAGGGCCACCATTTGAAAAACAAAAGGCCCTTTTCAGGGCCAACAACTAACAAACAAACGACCCTTTTCAGGGCCACCAATTCAAATACAGAATGAGAGAACTAAAGACTCAACATATTTGTTCTAGGCCTAGTCCACTAGCGGTCCTACGTCAAGCTTGCGTTCGTGCCCCTAGGCACAGACCCTACTACTTTTGTTTGTGTCTTATGGTAATTTTGGTCATACTCTTCAATATCAATATTGGTGGATTGCTAGTGTATGGAAATTCTCAATGTGGGTCCCATTCATCGAAAGGTTGAGTTTGTTGGTAGTTTGAGAACCGCTGCACTGAAGCATTTAGAACGCTGAACTAAGAAAAAAAAAGATCCAAAACGTATGGAAAACACATATGTTAGGTCCCTGAACTTTTTTGAAGATCTCTGATTTGGACAAATTTTCGAAGTTCCGACTTAACCCTTTCGAGCTACGCGCTATGATTGGTTGCATAAAACCAAAAGTAATAGATTGCTACATTTTTCAGCAAAGTTGTAGTTCTACAGGAAAAATATGAAAGCACCAGTTTATAGCCAAACTCAAAGACCTAGATCTTCAAAACCTTATGAAGGTATTATGTTAACATAGACTTAAATCTGGACAGCGACGATATCTTTAGCAACGGATCATGCACTGTCATGTTAATTAAACCCAATTTGACAATTCTAGATGAATTTGCTTAGTTGTAACCAGTGATGGAAAAGTTCGCGATAACTCACTATGACTCGCGAACTTTTCCCATGGTGAACTTCGTTAAATATCGCGAACTTTTCCAACACTGGTTGTAACACGTTCTAAGTATCCCAGATTGTCCAGGAGTTCAGACTATTTGATCTACTGGATCAACCAAGGCCTGTGCGATGTCCTCAGTCACGAAACCTACTCAAACATGTTCATTGAGATGTTTCACATCCCTTATAATATATTTTGATGTATGCAGCGCTCAAGGTTCTCCAAACTATCCTGGAATTCAGAACAAATGATCTACCGGATCAATAATTACTGATACAATGCCCTAAGCTTCGAAACAACTCCAAACAAGTTCATAGATATTATGCACATCATTTAAGTTTCAATTCCATGTGTATACGTTGTTTTAGGTTCTCCAAACAGTCCAGGAGATCAGCCTATTTGAAAACAGACATGTTCATAGGATTTTTAAGCATCACTTATAATCCATGTTGAACTATATAAAATGCTAAAGAATCTTCAAATCACCCTTGTGTTTCAATCAAGTGATCTACCAGATCAAATGATCAACTAGATCAACCATGACTGATACAAAACCCTTAGTTACGAAACAATTCCAATTCCATTGAGATTATGCACATCATTTACGTTTCAATGAATAAGATGTTCTAGGTGTTTCAAATTGTCCTGGAGTTCAGACTATTTGATCTACTGGATCAATCACGGCCTGCACGATTCCCTCAGTGACGACACCTGCCCAAACATGTTCGTAGAGTTTTTGCGCGTCACTTATAATCTATGTTGATGTCTATACGATGCTCTTGGTTCTCTAAATTATCCCGGAGTTCAGTTCAAATCATCTACCCGATCAACAATGACTAATTCAATGCCCTTAGTTGGGGGCGACCCCGGCGTAGTGGTTAACAGTGGTCTTTGTTGATCCGGTAGATCATTTGAGCTAAACTCCAGTATAATTTGGAGATCCCTGAGCCTCTTAGATACCGCAGAATAGATTATAAGCGATGCGCAAAAATCCTGTGAACATGTTTGGGCAGGTGTCGTCGCTGAGGGAATCGTACCGGCCTTGGTTGATCCAGGAGATCAAGTGATCTAAAAAACAGGACAATTTGGAGAATCTAGAACTTCTTATATCCATGGAATTGAAACGTAAATGATGTGCATAATCTCTATAAACCTGTTTGGAACTGGTTCGTAGCTAAGGGCCTTGTATCAGGCATAGTTGATCGGGTAGATCATTTTATCTGAACTCCATGATAATTTAGAGAATCTTGAGCACCTCATATTGAGGTATATTCTCAAGATTATAAGTGATGCGCAAAAACTCTATGAACATGTTTGGATTCAGTAGATCATATCGGCTGAACTTCTGGATAATTAGAAGAACTTACAACGTCTTATACACATGGAATTGAAACGTAAATGATGCGCATAATCTATTTGAACTTGTTTGGAGATGATTTGTTATTAAGGGCATAGCATAAGTCATGGTTGATATGGTAGATCATTTGATCTGAACTACAGAATAATGTGGATGTCCTAGAACATAAAC